GAAAAATAATGGGTTGTGGCTTATTTAAAATATTCTCTTACTAAATTTTTTTATTGGGCTACATCAAGAAATCAGATTGGGTTTCGAAAAGTTATGGACGTTGTATATAAAGAAATGTTTGATTATATTTGAATTTTCTTTCTTAATTTTTTTTTTTCAATGATTATGTTAGAATTTTTACTATTGTTTATATTTTTTATTATTTTATTTTTTATCATATAGTTTTCCGTGCAAATGCACGGGTAACAACTAGTATATGTTCAAAGCATCGTTTTAAAACTCGGCTCGGAAATCGACCTAGGCAGGTCTCCGGGTCACTGGGTCAGTTGTTGAACCAGATAATTAATTTTAAAAAATTTTAAATTATATATATAATTTTTGACATATGAATATACATAAATAACACGCATAAATGTTTTGCATATAGAATTTACACGTCAACGTCTTAAAAAAATTATATCTCACAATAAATATTTACTATATCAATATATTTACATAGTGTTATTTTTTATATAAAACAATATTTAAAGAAAAAAAAACATATATATTATGACCAGGTCAATGGCCCGGGTCGACCGGGTCAAGGCCAGGTTTTGATCGGGTTTGACCGAGTTTATTGTTTCCCGGTCTAAATAGCCTACCCAGACCAGTTCGACTCTGGGTCGGCATCGACCTGCCGGGCCGATCCGAGTTGAAAAACTATGGTTCAAAGTATGAGAAAAAAATCTTTTATTTTGAAACTATGAGGTTTATCCTTTAATTGTAAATGTCCTAACTTTTGGTGCTTATAAATAATGTGGTTCATTATTGTAATTGAGTTCAAAATTATAATTTTTTATATTTATAATTAACTTGTGAATGATTTATATATACTTGTATTTTTAATTTTGTTATCTTTGCCCAAAAAAAAAAAAAAAAAAAAAAATCGTATAGTAAATATGTAAAATGCACTTATTTCTAAAAATGTTGATAAAGGAGTGATAAAGGAAAATAATATATGGGGCCAAAAATCCTTATTTCAATTTGGCTGCTTCGTGTGTTATTCACATATTTCTCCAGCCTCACCTTAACAGCTCTCTTATCCTCTTTCCGAATTTTAGATTTTCCATGAAAAAACATGTGGATAAGATTTTTTTCTGTTAATATTAAAATCTTGTCATGGAAAGCTGGAAACTTGGGCACCATCAAATTATTTCTATCATCCTATACTACATATTTGCTCGAATTTTGTTTGTCGGGCTCAAGCTCAACCCTCCAAGAACAAAATACCCACAGGTATTCTATGGCTCATTGTCGTCTAACTTGAAGATTTACTACAAAATTACATCAGTTGTTTTTGTGGGACGAAGGTTTTCTGATGTCCCATTTCTTGATTTTGTCATATTTAGGTTGTTGAGCTTGAAATCATGGTCATAAAGTTAGGTTCTTGATGGGTTTCTTTTGGCCTTTAGATACAACAACAACATACCCAGTAAATTCCCAACCGGTTGGGGGTCTTGAGGGGTCATTTGTACGCAGACTTTACCATTGTAATTATACAAGGAGGATGTTTCCGTAGCGACCCAAGGTGCATTGCGTCGTTTGATATATTTTTTTCTAGAAACTTCACTAATAGAAGAAGCACTAGAATTTAATTGAGTCATTTTGATCTAGTCAATTATTAGCACTAATGCCAGGTGAATTGTCAACAATGACTCTTCCAGCTCCATTTGCAATGGACAATCTTTTGGCCTTTAGATAATTAGAGAAAGTCAGTTTGGGGGACTCAGGTCTCTATTTATTTGGCTTAAATCATTGTGGGCGTTTTTTATGGTGTTTTAACTTTTAAGTTGTGATTATGCTGGCTCGGTACCTTTGTCCATGGCATTATTTGGTGGAGTATTCAGAAGAACATAATCCCACATAGGATTCTTGGTTGCTCGATCGAATTTGCTTACGTATTTGGTGAACCGAATGGGTTTGGACTCAAACGAGTTGCTCATTAATGTCGATTATTCCGCTTGGAATTTTACGTTTTAGCTGAAAACGTGTTCGTTGTGTTTTGAAATGATTGAGAAATTAGAGGAGGAGAAGGAGGAGGATATTCTTGTTGGAGCTGAACTGTGGCCAATAATGTTTGCTTTTTTATGCTCTTATATGAAGTCTATTGTATTTTGTTCTTTTGAAGAGACTGAACCTTTGCTACTACATATTTGTATTTTCCTATGTGAACTAATTTCAAAATGTTGGCAGTGTAGCCTGATAACTTTCGATCATTAACACGTACTATTATTGCTTATGCTGCATCATTTGTGTTTCTTTTGAACTAGAAAGAGTGTTTCGTTTTTTCTTTGTCAACAGACTTTCTTCCTTCCATCGTCCAAGATGCTCTATTTATCAGAAATTCTAACACGTGCGATTAGGCTTCTCGTTTATTTCAATACGAGACATTTGTTCAGAGTATCCACTGTGAATTGCAGGATTTTTGTACATATGTATTTTCAGTTACCCATTTCGTGAATAAGCGAACAAAAACGAATCAAAATTTCATAACCATTGACAAAAGGCAAATGGGCTACCTAGAGGAGCTCGATAAAGAGAGGTCGGATCCTGAGATAAACAACCGAAACAACACTTTCGTTCCAAAGGACGAACGAGTTCACGAGTTTCTTGTCAAGGTAACAATATCGTTATTCACCTTTTCTAATGCATCTAGCTATTAGTCTTGGTACAAAAATATAAATGTATATACTTTTTCCTTTGCAGGTAAAAACTCATGATGAGAAAATACAATTTTACCCTGCACCAGGCTCGACTCTATGTGCTCTCTGCACAAACGAGGGGACTTGTCAAGTTGTTCAGTCGAGAACAAAGCTGATGGACATTCTATTACATAAGGGAAAGCCTCAAGAATCGCTTTCTGTTTTCAACAATTTAATCCAAGAAGGGCACAAACCGTCCCTAATAACATACACCACACTTTTATCCTCATTGACCGTACAAAAACGCTTCGAGTACACAAACACAATAATACACCAAGTGGAGAAGAACGGGCTGGAGCTCGACACGATTTACTATAATGCCCTTGTGAATGCCTTTGCCGAGTCGGGCGAAATGGAGAAGGCCACGAAAATGCTCGAGAAAATGAAGTCGCGCAGAATGAAACCCACGACGAGCACTTTAAACACATTGATCAAAGGGTACGGTATTTGCGGAAAGCCCGAGCAAGCCGTACAAATAATGGAGCTAATGTCTAAAGAGGACAACATAAAGCCCAATTCGAGAACGTACAACGTGCTCGTTCAGGCTTGGTGTAATAAGAAGAATATGAATGCGGCTCGGGATTTAGTATCTAAAATGGCGGGTTCGGGCGTGGGGCCCGATGCTATCACTTACAACATGTTGGCTAAGGCTTATATTCAGGATGGTCAGATGGGGGAGGCTAAAAACGTAATTTTGGAGATGGCGAGGAATAATGTGCGTCCGAATAATAGGACCTGCGGCATTATAATATCGGGCTACTGCAAGGAAGGAAGAATACGGGACGCCGTGAGATTCGTTTATAAGATGAAGGATCTTGGGATAAAGCCTAATCTCGTCATTTTCAATTCGTTGATCAAAGGGTATGTTGACATGTCGTATAGGGATGGCATTGATGAGGTAATCTAGTGGTTTTTTTTTTGGTATCGCTTTCTGTTTGTTCTTAAAAGGAAAAATGCAAAAAATGTTCGGGAGTATGTTGTTCCATTGTCCTGTTTTACGAATATTAACTCGATCGAATAGTTTTGTGGTCCGGTAACCTGGACTATTCGGAGATTTGGTCGTCTATATAGCTGCATTTGAATTGTCGTCCAATGTTGCTTTCACCATTTCGGTGATTAGGAGCCTATGTGCCCACTATCGTGTCTAATTATGCTTTTTTGAATCAAATCACACCTAAATCCCAAATCTTTTAGCATGATATTCAACAATTTCTGATGAACCTACTTAATTTGGATCATAGTTAATGGACTAAAATGTCCAAGTTTGTTTGTTTGTTTTTTTTTCCTTTCTATATATGATGCAAAGAGATTTTTAAAGCCCCTGCACCATTTACAAAACTAAACCATTACCTTGCCATGTTAGTAAATACATTCGAAACTTTCATTTTCCAACCCTTGTCCCCAGTTCTTCTCCTTCATCAAAAGTGATTTTTCTATAATTGCAGGTTTTAGGTTTGATGGCGAAATTCGAGGTCAAACCGGACGTGATCACGTTCAGCACCATCATGGATGCATGGAGCGAGGCCGGCTACATGATCAAGTGCCGAGAGGTTTTCGAGGACATGGTTCGGGCCGGCATAAAGCCCGATCTCCTTGCATACAGCATCCTAGCCAAGGGCTACGTTCGGGCCCAGGAGCCCGATAAGGCAGAGGAGCTCCTGGCCGCCATGGAGAAAGCCCGTGTGAGCCCAAATGTTGTGGTCTACACAACCATCATCAGTGGATGGTGCAACCGGGGCTCGATGGGGTCCGCCCTTAAGCTTTTCGGTAAAATGGTTGAGAATGGGATATCCCCCAATTTAAAGACATTTGAAACCCTAATCTGGGGCTATGCGGAAAACAAGCAGCCGTGGAAGGCTGATGAAGTTTTGCGGGTCATGAAGAGGTTTCGGGTTCGGCCCGAAAAGAGCACTTTTGAGTTGATTGCCGAAGCTTGGCGTGGGGCCGGGCTAACCGATGAGGTGAAACGGATAATGGGCTCGTCTGGAAATTCGGGTACAGATGAGGAAATGCATGAAGATGGGCTAGAGAGATTTTACGAGAAGGGAGGGGTAAATTCGCCGTTTCCGAGGCTGAGGATAATACCGACCACGGTCTCGGGGGATCAGAAGGGATCAGCTGGCGGCCCGGGAGGTTTGTGCTCGACTAAAGTTGTGAACTTTAAGGGTCGGCATTTTGGCGGGCGATGGCCGGTGGTTGGCTGGAGAAGTTTTCAGGGGCAGCTGTGTTTGTCTGCTCAGTTTGCATCATGTTGTTGCATGCAGATCTTTTGTTGATCTGATTAATCACTTGTAGGTGGTAAAGAAAGGATTTTTATTTTTTGTCTTTCGATGAAAATAAAGAACAAGTGTCTTGATTTTTTTTCTGGTTAGCCATTGTTGGATATTCTTGTGTGTACATAATTGTCAAACCAAATGTACGGAGAATAGCGATAAACGGCGGGATCAAACAATGAATATTAACTACGAACACAATTATCGAACAAATTACTTAAATAAATAAACATTTATTGTAACTACGAACACAATTATCGAACAAAGTCGAGTCATGTGAAACACCATTTTTTGAAATTGTCACGAAATAATGCGTATGATTTTCGACAAACTTCTCAAACGTACAATGACTTTTAGTTTGTGTAGAGCAACACTTCAAATACATAAAATTTCTACAAATGTACACGTTCTAGAACTCTTTAAGAAAATGAATAAAAAAACAACGATCATAAGATTTCGACAAGCGTTGACAATCTTTTTGCACCAATACGTGCATTCTCGTCACGCTGTCAGCCGTCGCAAGCGTGACTTACTCATGCTCGATTCTAACTAACTTCGAAACTACTTCGACTCAATTTGGTTTATGAAAACTGAATTTTCATATTTTTTTTATCCTTTTAAATTATTTTTTAATCAACTCTAAAATTGTTTTGAGATATTTCTCTAAAAATTTCAATTTTCAAAACATGGAACCATAAGTACAAAATCAATTTATCTTAATTTTAAAAAAAAAAGGACTACATATATTGCATCATAATAAGATTTCTGAAAAACTAAAAAATTGGTGATGTGAAGGAAAAGAAAATATGGGGCCAAAAAAGGAAGAAAAATATCCCAAAGTTTCTATAGAGTCGGATGACTCTCTTATGGAGTCATCTATAACTTTATGTACTGATACGTGTCAATGTATATTTATTACAAGACATGCGTCAATACATTATTTGTGAATAACTATGGATAACTCCATAAGTCGAGTCATTCGATTCGATGGTTATATAGCAAAATCGAGAAATATCCATACTTGGTGATTTTCTACCGCCTCACTCCACATTTCACTCTCTTATCCGCTCTGCACATAAGTAGATAAAAATGAAATCTTTACAGATTTTCGTGATACACGTGGACGCTGGAAACTTATGCGCACAATATCATCCAACTGCATATTCGCTCGAAGCGAATCCCCCGACGAACAAAATAGCCACAGGTATTGTATTTCATGACCAATTGTCATATTTGCTTAAAAATTTACATCAATTGTTTTTGTTGGGCGATGGCTATTTGAGCTCCCATTCTTGGATTTGTTATATTTTCTTGAAAAATTACATCAATTGTTTTTGTTGGGCGATGGTTTTCTGTGCTCATTCATTGCAATTTGCACCATCTGGCGAAGTATTCAGAGGATGATAATAACATGGTCCAAGTGGGAGTTCTTGGTTGTCGATCGAATTTGCTTATGTAATTGCTTATGTAATTGGTGAATCGAATCAGTTTGGATTAAAAAAAAAAAAAAAATTGCTCATTATTTATTATTATCCAGCTTGATTCGACATTTTAGCTGAAAGTGTGTTCTTTGTGTTTGGAGTGATCTAGAAATTAGTGGAGGAGAATATTCTTGCTACAGTTGTTGGATTATCACTTGTGAGTTGTCCCACATTGATTATATAGGGTAAATGAGCCTAGTTTATATGCCTAGTACTCCTCTAATCACCAATTGATTTTCGGATGAAGCTCACCCTCTTATGGCGCTTCATCTGGTAGGACACACTCTCTTCCACTTGTGAGTTGTTCCACATTGATTATATAGAGTAAATGAGCCTAGTTTATTAAGCCTAATGGGCTACTCCTCCCATCACCACTTGATTTTGGGATGGAACCTCACTAAGGTGCACCTATGCTCACCCTCTTATGGTGCACCTATGCTCACCCTCTTATGGTGCGCTTTTGGTGGGACCGCACTCTCTTCTCCCGGCTCTAATAAGAGCATCTCCAATGGAACATTGTCCATTTTGTGTTGTATAGCATGGAGAAAGGAAATTAAAAGATTGTGTCTCCAATGGTAAGCATTAATTGTGGTATAATTTGTGTATAATTTGTGATGTGTAAAATTGTAATTGGTTAAAAAAAAAAAATTAAATAAATAATATAATATATTGTGGAAATTGTTTAGAATGACTTCTACATCTAGAAGTCTTTCTAGACATTTATTTCTGTGTTTAGCCAGGAGAGAGAGGGGAACAACCTCGGACATTAGCAACCCTTTAGGGTCTGAGCTCTTGGAATTGGAATAAGTTTGGCAGCGGATTGCGAAATCTTGGTGACATATGATTATTTCTGTCATGTGGCAATAAAAAAGAATAATAGAAGAACCATTGGAGATGCTCTAATAGCTGGTGTTGAAATGTGGCCATCAATATTTGTTTCATTTTTTGTTAATATTTGTTTCATTTTTTTGTTTTCTTTGGCGGATTAGATTTTTTATGCTATATTCTTGGAAATTGATTGAGAAGCTTGAGTTGTTGAAGTTTCTCCCAGCTTACAAGCTTACATCCTTTCTCCCTTTTATTCTCTGCTTGTTAAATCTATTTTTTCACATATGAAGTATATTGCACTTTATTCTTTAAAGAGACTGAGCCTTGGTTACATCTTGTATTATCCTATGTGAACTAATTTGAAAATAATAGTCTGATAACATTCGATCTTTAACACTTACTATTGTTGTTAATACCGCATCATTTGTGTATCATTTGGACTTGAAAGAGTGCATTATTTTTCTTTTTCAACTAATTTTATTTCAGGGACATCATTCTTGCTTTCTTGTTTTGCTGCCTTATTGTTGGCTCAGTGATTAATTCTGTGTTTTTGTGTCACTGATTATCTGTTTTCATTTGTTGTACATGTGCATGTCCTCAGTCTTCTCATCGCAATTTCTATTCTACCCATAATACACTTTATACTTATATAAGCGGGTAATGTTTATTGCTTTTCTTTTTGCTCGAGTAGTGCGGTCCACGTGTTGGTCGGTGATAGGCTATTATGTTTCCTTCAGCTCGTGTATATAACGAGCTCCTTCTTCATGTAATTGAGTTTTTCAATTTAATGAAACAGAGAGAAAATTCCCAAAATAGATTTTGAGCTTGCATCTTTACACTTATTTCATCCGAGACATTTGTTCAGAGTGTCCACTGTGAATTATTTTTGTACGTAATTTTTTCAATCATGGCGCAGACGATGGGCTACCTAGAAGAATTTGATAAAGAGAGGCCGGATCCTGAGATAAACGGCAAAAATACCGCCTTTATTCCAAAGAACGAACGAGTTCAAGAGCTTCGTGTCAAGGTAACAATTACTGTTTCCTTTTTCTGTTGTGACCAATTAATGAACTTACTCCACAAAACATAATGTATACAATTTTTCTTTGCAGGTAAAAATTCATGATGAGAAAATACAATTTCGCCCGCCACCGGGCTCGACTCTCTGTGCTGTCTGCGCAAATGAGGGAAATTGTAAAGTTGTTCTGTCGAGAACAAAGATGATGAACACACTAGTAGATATGGGAAAGCCTCAAGAATCCGTATCCATTTTTAACGATTTAATCCAAGAAGGACACAAGCCCAATTTGAGAACCTATAACGTGCTTGTTTGGGCTTGGTGTACTGAAAAGAATATGAAGGCGGCTTGGGATTTAGTGACGGAAATGGCGGCCTTGGGCATGGGGCCCAATGTCATCACTTACAACATGTTGGCTACGGCTTATATTAAGGATGGGCAGATGAGGGAGGCCAACGTAATTCTGGAAATGGCAAGGAATAATGTGCGTCCGAATGAATGGACCTGCGGCATTATAATCTCAGGCTACTGCAAGGAAGGCAGAATACAGGACGCCTTGAGATTCGTTAACAAGATGAAGGATCTCGGGATAAAGCCTAATCTCGTCATTTTCAATTTGTTGATCAAGGGGTGTCTTGACGCATCAGGTATTAGTGGCATTGATGAGGTAACCTAGTGGTTTTTTGTATCGCTTTCTGTTTGTTCTTGTTTTCCCGAAAGTAACTGTAAACATGGAAAAGAAAGTTGAAAAAATGAGAAGGGAAAATGCAAAAATGTCATGAGTATGTTGCATTGTCCTGTTTTATAAATATTTACTCAAAAGAATAGTTTTCTCGTCCGGTAACCTGAGAAGGGAAAATGCAAAAATGTCAGGAGTATGTTGCATTCTTCTGTTTTACAAATATTTACTCGAAATAATAGTTTTCTGCTCCCGCAACCTGGACTTTGGAGATTTGGTCTCTATAAAGCTGCATTTGAATTGTGGTCCAATGTTATTTAAATATTCGGATACTTAGCCCGATTTTGACCTCATCGGTGATTGAGAGCTATGTTTCACTACTGTGTCTAATTTTGCTTTTTGAATCAAATCACCTAAATCCCAAATCTTTTAGCATGATATTCAACAATTTCTGATCAACTGATAGTCCGAGGATTGAGCTATAGGCTTGGGCTAAGGTTCGGAAATCTGAACCTACGTAATTTGGATCATAGTTAATGGACTAAATGTCCAAGTTTTATTATTATTATTATTATTATTATTATTATTATTATTATTATTATTATTATTATTATTATTATTATTATTATTATTATTATTATTTTCCCTTTCTATATATGATTTGAAGAAACTTTTGAAGGAACAAAGCCCCACACTATTTGCGAAACTAAAAGCATTATCTTGCCATTTTAGTAAATACATTTGAAACTTTGATTTTCCAGCCCTTGTCCCCAGCTTTTCTCCTTCATCAAAAGTGATGGCAACATCCTTAAGAAGTAATAAATTCACGCCACTTTCTGATTTTGATAATTGCAGGTTTTAGATTTGATGGCGAAATTCGAGGTCAAACCGGACGTAATCTCGTTCAGCACCATCATGAATGCATGGAGCGAGGCCGGCTACATGATCAAGTGCCGGGAGGTTTTTGAGGACATGGTTCGGGCCGGCATAAAGCCCAATGTCCATGCATACAGCATCCTAGCCAAGGGCTACGTGTGGGCCCAGGAGCTCGAGAAGGCAGAGGAACTACTGGCTGCCATGGAGAAAGCCCGTGTCGGCCCGAATGTTGTGGTGTACACAATTGTAATCAGTGGATGGTGCAACCGGGGCTTGATGGTGTCCGCCCTTACGGTTTTTGGAAAAATGGTCAAGAAGGGGATTTCCCCCAATCTAAATACGTTTGAAACCCTAATCCGGGGATATGCAAAAAACAAGCTGCCGGGGAAGGCCAAGGAAGTTCTGCAGGTTATGGAGAAGTTTGGGGTTTGGCCCAAAAAGAGCACTTTTGGGTTGATTTCCCAAGCTTCGTGTGGGGCCAGTCTAGCCGATGCGGCAAACCGGATATTGGGCTCGTCTGGAAATTCGGGTATGGATCAGGAAATGCATGAAGATGGCCTAGAGAGATATTACAAGAAGAAAGGGGTAAATTTGTTATTTGTGAGGCTGAGGATACCTAGCACGGTCTTAAACTTAGTCTACAAAACTAAGTGTATACAATTTTTCTCTGCAGGTGAAAACTCGTGATGAGAAAATACAATTTCACCCGCCACTGGGCTCGACTCTCTGTGCTGTCTGCGCAAATGAGGGAAATTGTAAAGTTGTTCTGTCGAGAACAAAGATGATGAACACACTAGTAGTTATGGGAAAACCTCAAGAATCCGTATCCATTTTTAACAATTTAATTCAAGGACACAAGCCCAATCTGATAACCTACAACGTGCTTGTTCGGGCTTGGTGTACCGAAAAGAATATGAAGGCGGCTTGGGATTTAGTGTCGGAAATGGCGGCCTCGGGCGTGGGGCCCGATGCCATCACTTAAAACACATTGGCTACGGCTTATATTCAGGATGGGCGGATGACTGAGGTAAAAAACGTAATTCTGGAGATGACAAGGAATAATGTGTGTCCGACTGGAAGGACCTTCGGCATTATAATCTCAGGCTACTGCAAGGAAGGCAGAATACAGGATGCCTTGAGATTCGTTTACGAGATGAAAGATCTCGGATTAAAGCCTAATCTCGTCATCTTCAATACGTTGATCAATGGGTGTCTTGACGCGTCGGATATTAATGAGGTAACCTAGTGGTTTTTTGTATCGCTTTCTGTTCGTTCTGGTTTTCCTGAAAGTAACAGTGAAAATGGAAAAGGAAGTTACAAATATGAAAAGGAAAAATGCAAAAATGTCAGGAGTATGTTGCATTGTCCTGTTTTACAAATATTAACTCGAAAGAATAGTTTTCTGGTCCGGTAACCTGGACTATTTGGAGATTCGGTCGTCTATATAGATGCATTTGAATTGTTGTCCAGTGTTATTTAAATATTTGGATAACTAGCCCGTTTTGTCAGCATCGGTGATTAAGAGCTATGTGCCACTACCGTGTCTAATTTTACTTTTTGAATCAAATCACCTAAATCGCAAATCTTTTAGCTTGACATTCAGCAATTTCTGATGAACCTACGTAATTTGGATCATAGTTAATGGACTAAAATGTCCAAGTTTGTTTTTCTGATTTGATAATGCAGGTTGTAGGTTTGATGGCAAATTTCAATGTCAAACCGGATGTGATCATGTTCAGAACTATCATGAGTGCATGGAGCAAGGCCGGCTGCATGATCAAGTGCCGTGAGGTTTTTGAGAACATGGTCCGGGCCGGCATAAAGCCTGATGTCCATGAATACAGCATCCTAGCGAAGGGCTACGTGCGGGCCCAGGAGCCCGAGAAGGCAGAGGAACTCCTGGCTACCATGGAGAAAGCCCGTGTGGGCCCGAGTGTTGTGGTCTACACAATCGTCATCAGTGGATGGTGCAGCCGGGGCTCGATGAGGTCCGCCCTTAAGGTTTTTGGGCAAATGGTCAATCAAGGGATTTTCCCCGATCTAAAGACCTTTGAAACCCTTATCCGGGGATATGCAAGAAACAAGTTGCCGGGGAAGGCCAAGAAAGTTCTACGGATTATGGAGAAGTTTGGGGTTCGACCCGAAAAGAGCACTTTTGGGTTGATTCCCCAAGCTTCATGTGGGGCCAGTCTAATCAATGAGGCAAACCGGATAATGGGCTCGTCTGGAAATTCAGGTATGGATCAGGAAATGCATGAAGATGGCCTAGAGAGATATTACGAGAAGGAAGGGGTAAATTCGTCATTTCCGAGGCTGAGGATACCTAGTACGGTCTTGAGGGATCAGAAGGGATCAGCTGGCCAGGGCAAAAGAGGTCGGATGGTGTTGAGGGAAGCCGGAGGTTCGTGCTCAACTAAAGTTGTGAATTTTAAGTGTCGGCATTTGAGCGGACGATGGCCAGTGGCTAGCCGGAGAAGTTTCGAGGGGCAGCTGTGTGTGTCTGATCAGTTTGCACCATGTTGTATGCAGCTCCTTTGTTGATCTGATTAATCACTCGTAGGTAAAGAAAGGATTTTTAT